CACTCTGTAGACCAGGCTGGAGTGTAACGGCGCGATCTTGGCTCACCACAACCTCCGCCTCCTGGGTTCAAGCAATTCTCCTGCCTCAGCGTCCCAAGTAGCTGGGATTACAGGCATGGGCCACCACGCCTGGCTAACTTTTATTTAGATACATTTTTTTTTTTTTTTTGGAGACAAGGGTCTCACTCTGTCGCTTGCCCCGATCTCGGCTCCCTGCAAGCTCCGCCTCCCAGATTCATGCTATTCTCCCACCTCAGTCTCAGTAGCTGGGACTACAGGCGCCCGCCACCATGACGCTCAGCTAATTTTGTTTTTATATTTTTAGTAAGAGACGGGGTTTCACCATGTTGGCCAGGCTGGTCTCAAACTCCTGACCTCAAGTGATCCACCCGCCTCCGCCTCCCAAAGTGCTGGGATTAAAGGCGTGAACGATAGCATGAACCCATCAGATTCTTAATATTTGCAGAAGATTTTTCTAAAATGAGAGTTTTCTAAAAGTTTTCTTCCAACTTTAGAAATAAAAATCATGCCATCCCATCAAAGAATATATGATTTTCACTTTTAGGCCAATCATTAGTCTAGATCTACTTCCAAACAGATTTAGCTCAAAGCTTATCTTTCCTCTGAAGTACATACGTATTATGCTAAAAACTGTCACGCAAAGAATATATAAGCAGCTCTGATCCAGAAATGCAAGGAAAATGTATGTGAGAAAGCAAGAGTATTTATCTCCTCACAGAGAACAGAGTAAGAGCTGGTTTATAAGACATAGATGTACTTTCAAATAGATGTACTGAAATGGGAAAATGAAGAGTAAGACCACATATAGGGTATACTTCTTGGTGTTACAATTTTGAAAACGGATTACTAATGAATGTCTAAAAATTTCACTGCTAATACTCATTTGTCCTCAGATAGGACATTCTTGGAAATCAAGCTCAGGGTGAATTTGTGTAGACACACTGCACTGCATGGATCGGTTAAATATCCCTTCAATCTCCTCCAGTTTACCATCTTCCTTCTTCAATGTCTTAAGATTTTCATTGATTTACTCAACAAACATTTGACACCTACTACATGCCACAAAGTTAAAACACCAGAGAAAGCAAAAGGAGTAAGACACAGTATCTGCCTTCAAGGAACTTACAGCCAGCTGTATCTGCCTTCAAGGAACTTACAGCCAGCTTCAGAGTGTTGGTGAGTGCACATGTCATAGTGTTAATGGGTGCTTTCATGATACAGGGTCTAAGAGGAGGCACAAGAAAGGAGCAGTCAAATGGGAGAAGCAGTCAAGTTAAAGTTCAACAGAGATGGGGGACACCTGACTAAGGAGGAAGGGGAAACACATTCCAAGAGTCAACATCACACTCAAAGGCAAGGAAATATACAACATGGCCCATCAAAGCTTTGCAGATCCACAGACAAGCACTAGACCTACAAAATCAGAATCTGCATTTTAAGAGCCCCAGGCAATCATGCTTACTAGAGTTTGAGAAGCCCTGCTTCTCACTTCAAAGTAGTAGTCTGGTATGGCTAGAACACAGGATGCCACGGTAAGGAACTCACAAGAGATGATGCTCCAGAGGCAACTCCAGCTCATAAAGCACCTGTGCTAAAGAGTCTGGATCTCATTCTGGACCCAATGGGAGTCACCACAATGCTCAAGTGTAAGTAGGAAAATGACATGATCAAATTACCAGGGAGACTAGGGAATGATGATGGGGTTGGAGGAAAAGGGATGCATTCCAAATGAAGCAGATCTAACAGGGCTTAATCATTTGTGCAATCAATAAATGGGGGGTGAAGGGAGTAAGAGATGAATGAGAAAACAAACATGTAGATATCCAGGATCTTTCTGGAAGGCAGGTAGAAACAGCAACATTCATGAAAACAGGGAACGCAAGAGGAATAGATGTGAGAAGGAGGAGGAGTCCAATTTGAGCTGTGTTGGCTTTGAAGTACCTATAGTTCAAGCAGGTGGATGCGTCTAGTAGACGGTCCATATGTGGGAGAAACATCATCAGATAGGTAAGTAACGCCCTGAAAAATGAAAAAGGTCACAAAAGAGAATGAAAACACTGAGAAAACATAGAAGGACCACGGGTAAAACTACCAAGAACATCAGCATTTAATAGGTGAACAGAAGAAAGAGGAATGAAGCAAATGAGACAAATCCTAAAGAGAAGAGAATCTAGAAAAACGGTGTCATCAATACTGAGAAAAGGGTCTCATGAAGGGGAAAATGGAAGAGTAATATGTGAGGTTAAGGCCTCAAAAGTGAATTTGGTAATTAAAAGAGGTCCTCTGAAAAAGTTAAATAAACATACATCTTACACATACACAAGTCAGTAAAAGGATAACTATCAACTAATGGCTCTCTGGTTGACAAAAATTAAGGGTGATTTTTAGTTTACTGTTCCCACCACCCAGGTTTTGCAACTATTCCTCGAGGTACTTTGAGGAATAATTTTTGCAACTGTTCCTCAAGGCACTTTTGAAATAATTTTTCAAAAATACAATTAAAAAATTAATAAACAAGTAATAATAGTCTGACAGTGGTGTGACTGCAGTGAGTAGGAAAGGGAATGAAAAGTGAGGAAATCAGAGACAGAGAATTATGGACAGGGAAGAGACTGAGAAGCTTCTAGAGTAAATAGAGTTCCAGGAAAGGTTCTGTGTTTCAGGTGGGCAAGATCTGGGCATGTTTACAGGCTGTGGGGTAGGAGACTATATACAGTCCCCAGAGTTCAGGAAAAAGAGGGAACAGTTACCTTTATTGCCCGTTATCACCTGAACACACAGTGGTGAACAAGACAAAGTCCTGCTCTCATGCAGCTTACCTTCTACTAAGGAAAAAAAAAAAACCCACAGAGAAATAAGTAATGATATCAGACAAGTGAGGTGTGCCACGAATAAATCTAAAATAGGACTGGCATGTTTTGGATTGAGTGTTGAGGTAAGGCTTCTCTGAAGCGACATTTGAGATCTGAATGACAAGAAAGCAACTTTACAAAGATAAGTGGGAAAGGCCTTTACAGATAATGAAACTGAGGAACTGAGAGGTTAGTAAGATGTCTGAGATTATGCAGTAAGTAAACAGAACCCAGGTCTGATGAACACCTAGACCACCCTTTCTACTAAACTGTGTTCTCTTTATTCAGTTCTCCTCAAATGCAACAGTGAAGATAAAAGAAAATGTGGACCTTCCCCTGACCTTACAGAAATGCTGAGGACTACAATAATAAGAGTAATGGGCACAACTTTCTCAAAAGAAACTCTGAAAGCCAAGAGATGCATGTAGTTCTGCGCTCAGAGGCATGATTTCAGAAAGTTAACTGTTCAAGTCTAATATGAAAACACAGGCAGGCTCCAATTACAAGTAGGTTACATTCCAAAGACTATAAGTTGTTAAGAAATCATAAATTATTTTCTCCACGTAATTTTACAGCGAGATTAGGTGTTCAGGCTGGTCCACGAAGGTCCACATAACAACCTAAGTAGTAGTTATGACTACTGTAGTAACCAACAAAGCACTTACTATGCATCAGGCCCCATACTAAGTGCTAAATACAGATAATTCTGAAATATTCCTAACACCATTACTACCCCCATCTTATAGCTAAGGTAACTGAGGCCTGGAGATGTTAAGTAACTTGTCTAATGGCATAATGCAGATAAATTGAGGATAAAATGCAGAAAAAACTGGAGTAGGCTGCAGTCTGGGCCCAGCCTACTGCAGATCCCTGGCTCTCAGTCCTTATGCAAGCTCTCAAAGTACCTTAATTTATAAGCATCAGTCTCTCAAAATCATTTTTTCTCCAAAGCTAAAAGCTCAGCAACCTATCTCCCCTTCTCTGGTGGTCCGAATACTATTAATAACCAAATGAACACTTCCATCAACTTTTTTTATCCCCTCCACTACAAAAGTCTATACCAAACCTATCTCTGATAAATCTCAAACCATGAAAGCATTTAGTCGCACATCTGACACCCACTGAGAGTTTAACTTGCCTTTGCATCCCCAGATTCCAACAGAGCGCCTTGCATGTGCTCATTCATTCAAAGACACTTATAGGCCGGGAGCGGTGGCTCACACCTGTAATCCCAGCACTTTGGGAGGCCGAGGCAGGAGGATCGCTTAAGGTCTGGAGTTCGGGACTAGCATGGCCAACATGGTGAAACCCAGTCTTTACTAAAAGTACAAAAGTTAGCCTAGCATGGTGGCGCACACCTGTAATCCCAGCTATTCGGGAGGCTGAGGCAGGAGAATCGCCTGAACCTTGGAAGCGGAGGTTGCAGCGAGCCAAGATCGCGCCATTGCACTCCCACCTGGGCTACTGATCTCGAAATAAATAAATAAATAAATAAATAAATAAATAACAAAGACATTTACAAATCCTGCCGTGACAGTTACCAACTCGTACAACACCTTCCTAAATGCTGAAGGAAAACCCCATTCAAGAGAACGCAGGCAAAAGCCCAGACTAATCATAATCCAGCATCCAGCTTTAGGCCATCTGTGGCTCACCCAAACTCCCAACCCATTCCCCGCCGCCCCCTCCCACGCAAAAAGCTAAATTTCTCAGTATCTAAATGCTAGGTGGTTACTGATTACCAACAGTGACCCCACGTGGGACACCACCCAAGCTAGCCGAGTGTAAGGAGGAGACCACCACCCGACTCTCCAAAGCAGTTTTCAAAGCCCCCCCTCGTCTTCGTTGACCGTGGGTACCCCGAGGACAGTAAGACCCAGGCTGAAGTGGCGAGGGCAGGATTCAAGCCGGAAGCAAGCCATGCCCGCATCCGTGACCTTCTGAAGGCGCTTAACCCTGTCACCCGAAAACCCCTGGGAGGGAGCGTGGTGCGGGGCACGGGGAGGCTCGGTCCTGGGGCGGCGAGGAGGGTGGCGAGCACAGGCGGGACCCGGTCCCTGACGGCGCCCACGACCCCGGGGGGCCCTCGCGCCGCAGCCTAACTGGAAGAAGGGCCTGGGCACTCACCCGGCCACGGGCCCGGCGCGAGCGGCAGGCAGATAGGAGGCGGCATGCGGCCGGCCCGGGCCGCCAGTGAGGAGGCGCAGGGAGAGCGGGAGGCGCGGGGCCGCCCCGGCACGCAGCAGCCAACACGAGGATCTCAGCAGGGCTGCCATGGCTCGAACGTCACCGCAGCAGGAAGCACGTTCCGCCAGAAGGACAGGAGGAGCACGTGACCTCAGGGTCGCCCGGCGCGGCAGAGACCAACTGCAGGGCGCGCCAAATGTGGGGGGAGCCAGGGATCGTTTTAGGTTGGAAGATGGAAATCCGCACTTCTCTGAGAAGAGGGGAGTCAATGTGATACTCATATAAACGATGTTGCTTGTTTCATTATCGAAACATTTCTTTTCCGTCTTCTGTCTCCGATCTGGGCATCGTGTTCATTCGCTGCACCCCCGCACTCCTCTGTTCGTAGAGCCGCAAGGGGTCAACTCCTCCCAAGTTGGCGCAGAGGCTTGCGGGAGGCCAACTAGTAAAAACACCGAGAACTCTCGAGAACAGCCAACTATGAAGATCCCAGGATGAGACGGTTTCCCCGCCCCCGAGTGCAGACGTTGCAACCAACTTTCAGCGCTGACGCGATCTCCAATAGGAACGGCCCTTCACTCTCGGAAACGCGGGCCAGAGAAACCGTGGAGGACTTTTCACCTTGCCGTTTGCCTCCCAGGTTCAACATGATAGGATTTGGATTATTAGGGCCTGGGAACAGCGTAAAGGAACGCGCGGGTCACCACCTTAAGCGGGTATGCGGGGCCTCGCTTTAGGAAATAAATGAATTCTACCAGAAGTCCTGTAGTTTTAAAGCTGGAATTGAACTGTCTTCCCAAACCCTCCACGCCTACTGCGCCTCTCCCTTCAGTAAATGCACATATACATGTGAGAAGTAGAAGAACAATGCAATTAAGTCTCCAACCAAATCTGGGGAGAAAACAGGCAAGTTAAACCCATCGCTGGGCCGGGCACAGTGGCTCACGCCTGTAATCCCATCACTTTGGAAGGCCGAGGCGGGTGGATCACCTGAGGTCAAGAGTTCGAGACCAGCCTGGCCAACATGGTGAAACCCCTTCTCTACTAAAAAAACAAAAAAAAAAAAAAAAAGTAGCTGTAATCTCAGCTACTCGGGAGGCTGAGGCAGGAGAACTGCTTGAATCCGGGAGGTGGAGGTTGCGGTGAGCCAAGATGGCGCGATTTTCCAGCCTGGGTGACACAGCGGGACTCTGTCCAAAACAATCCACGTCGCTGCTGCCTTCACAGGGCTTACAGACTCAGTCGGTTCCCTGTGTACACGTGGGAAACTGAGAACAGCCTCCCACTCCCTCTCCACCTGCTTGTCCCCTACCTATCACCAGGCGAATGCGCGGGTATTTCCTCTGGAAGCCCTCCCACGGTCATTTCCCATGTGACTGTTTATCCCACTGGACCATGAACTCCTTATCAGTAGGGACTGTGATCTCTTACTGTAGGCCACACACCTACCCAGTGCCAGATACACAATAGGTCGCATTAAATATGTGTTAAATAAATGTCTATTTTGAGATGACCTAGCTCACCCCTCCTTTGAGAGATGAGGGAACGAAGACATTCCCTCCAAGTCCCCAAAATAAATAAGGTGAAATGATTGACTCTGGGTTATATTACTGAGCATTGGGAGTATAAGTTATTCACCTATTCAACACGTATTTATTGAACACATATCCAGTGCCATACACTATTTGAAATTTTGGGGATACAGCAGAGAACAAAACAATCCTAGATTCTAATAAAGCTCTTTAAAGTTTAATTTGGGAAGACAGAAAAGAACTGTGATGCAAAATACGCCAGGGTAAAGAGATTGAGGGTGTCATGGGGAGAGTTGCTTTTTTTTTTTTTTTTTTTTTTGAGACAGTGTTTTGCTCTGTCACCCAGGCTGGAGTGCAGTGGTGCGATCTTGGCTCACTGCAGCCTCGACCTCTTGGCTCAAGCAATCCTCCCACCTCAGCCTCCTGAGTAGCCGGGATTACAGGCTTAAACCCTGGATAATTTTTGTATTTTTAGTAGAGATGGGTTTTTACCATGATGCCCAGGCTAGACTTGAACTCATGGCCTCAAGCAATCTGCCCGCCTGGTCTCCCAAAGTGCTGGGATTACAGGCATGAGCTACCATGCCTGGAGAGTTGGTATTTTAAATAGGAAAAAAGTTGAACAGAAATCTGAAGGAAGGAAACGAGGAAGCCAGGAGAATTTTCTGGAAGGAGAAAAAAAAAACAGAAAAAAAGAGTGGTCCAGGCTTAAATAAGGCAAATACCAAAACCTGGAGGCAATAATAGGTGTACCCTATTCAGAGAACTCTAAGGAGGACCATGTGGATGAAAGAAAGGAGCAGGGGGTAGGCGTAGAGGAAGGAGCAGAGGGTGGAGAGGGGCCTGGAGGTGGGAGAGGTAGTTGGAGGCCATATCAAGCAGGTGTGGTAGGTGGCCGTGAAGACTGACTTTTACTTAGACTGAAGACTGACTTTTACTTAGAATGAGATGAGAAACCATTGGATAGTTTGGTGTGTTGCTTTTAAAGAGATGGAGTCTTGCTCTGTTGCCCAAGCTAGTGTGCAGTGTCTATTCACAGGAGCGATTATGACACATTACAGCCTTGAACTCCTGGGCTCAAGCAATCCTCCTACCCTGGCCTCCCAAGTATATGGGACTACAGGTGTGTGCCACCACACCCGTTTTTTGTTGTTGTTTTTTTTTTTTTAAGTGCAGTGGCACAATCTAGGCTCACTGCAATCTCTGCCTCCCTGGGTCCAAGTGATTCTGGTGCCTTCGCCTCCCAAGTAGCTGGGATTAGAGGCATGCACCACTGCACTCAGCTAATTATGTAGTTTTAGTAGAGATGGGGTTTCACCATGTTAGCCAAGCTGGTCTGTAACTCCTGACCTCAAGTGATTCACCCACCTCGGCCTCCCAAAGTGCTGGGATTATAGGCGTGAGCCACCACACCCAGCCACCCATTTGCATTTTGAAAGGGTCACTCTAACTGCTGTTTGGAAAGGAGGTTTTAGGGGAATGGGGATAAATAAAAATAGACCAAAGAGAAGGCTAATCCAGACTAGAGATGGTGGTGGCTTGCATTAGAGGGTAGGGTAGCAGGTGAAATGATGAGAAAGGGTCAGGTTCTTACTCTATTTAAATAGTAGAACCAAGGGGATTCTATTTAAATAGAGTACTGATGGATTGGCTGTGGATTGTAAGTCAAGAACGGCTCCAAAGGTTTTGGCCTAAACAACTAGAAAGATGGATATGACTCTAATTTAAAAGGGGGAAAACAGAGAGAAGCAGATTTAAAAAGTGAAATCAAAAACGATTTCCTGGAATATTAGCTTGTGCCTGCTAGACATCCAAGTGTCAAATTTGAATAGGGGTTGGCTACATGTCATACAAGTCAGTTCAGGGGAAGAGTCAGAGCTAGAGATACGTTTGGGAATCTGCAGCTTCTTCCTAATATTTGAAGCCACAGAAATGGATGAAAGCATCTAGGAAGAAAATGCAGATAGACAAGAGAGGGAGTCCAAGGACTGAGGCTTGTGTCATTTCAATCTTTAGAGGATGTATAGATGAAAATCTAGCAAAGTAAACTGAGAAAGAGGAGCCAGAGAGGCAGGAGAACTCAGTCCAGTGAGGTCACTAATAACCTGAAAGAGAGAAGTCCTTCAGGGAAGGAATTATCAATCACCTACAATGCTACTGTTAGTTCCAATACAATGAGCATGCAACATTGACCATAGAATTTATTTCTTCTTTGTTTGTTTGTTTGTTGAGACTGAGTCTTGCTCTGTCGACCAGGCTAGAGTTGCAGTGGCGTGATCTCGGCTTGCTGCAACTTATGCCTCCTAGGTTCAAGCGATTCTCCTGCCTCGGCCTCCCAAGTAGCCAGAACTACAAACACGCATCACTATGCCCAGCTAATTTTTGTATTTTCAGCAGAGACAGGGTTTCACCATGTTGGCCAGGCTGGTCTGGAATCCCGACCTCAGGCGATCTGCCCACCTTGGCCTCCCAAAGTGCTGGGATTACAGGCATGAGCCACCATGCCCTGCCATAGGATTTGGCATCTCAGCAGTCCCTGGTGATGCCAAGAAGAGCCATTTTGGCAATGTGTTGAGTCAAAAAATTGAAGTGAGTTTAAGAAGAAGGGTAAGTGGAAACAAAGTACAGACAAACCTGTAGAGTTTTGGGGTGGTATCTAGAAGAGGGGTATAGTCAAGGAAGATTCTGTCTGCTTTTTTTTTTTTTTTTTTTAGGTGGAGTTTCACTCTTGTTTGCCCAGGCTGGAGTGCAATGGCATGATCACGGCTCACCGCAACCTCCACCTCCCAGGTTCAAGCGATTCTCCTGCCTCAGCCTCCCTAGTAGCTGGGATTATAGGCATGTGCCACCACGCCCGGCCAATTTTGCATTTTTAGTGGAGACGGGGTTTCTCCATGTTGGTCAGGCTGGTCTCGAACTCCCAACCTCAGGTGATCCGCCCGCCTCCGCCTCCCAAAGTGCTGGGATTACAGGCGTGAGCCACCATGCCTGGCTGCTTTTTTTTTTTTAATGGAAGAAATAACAGTATGTTTGATACTAATGGGAATAATCCACATGTGCCTATTTAAATTAATCAAAATTAAATAAAAATTTAAAAATTCAGTTCCTCAGTCAGATTAGCTACATTTCAAGAACTGAAGAGCCACAAGTAGCTAGTAGCTGCCATATTGGATGGCACACATAGAGCACATTCCCATCATCGCAGAAAGTTCTACTGCACAGAGCAGTAGAAAGTGAAGAATTCATAATGCCTGAGAGAGAGAAAGAGAGAGAGAGAATAAATTGAGTAGGCAACAGAGGATGGAATTCAGTTCAAAAGTGATGGGTTTGCTACAGTTAAGAATGCAGACAGTCCAGTCATTGTCACAGAAGGGAAGACAAGGTACATGGGTACAGACATGTTACCAAGGCTTGTAAAGGTAGTGAATGAATGAATGTTCTTTTCTAATTGCTTCTAGCCCTGAAATCATTAATCCCCAACCAACATTCCCTGTGTTGCTATATCAAGCTTCCTCTTGAAGTATGGAGCAACTACTAATGAAATTTTTCTAGTCATTCATTTATTCACTATTTAATGAGCACCTACAACCTGCCAGGCAGTGGGTTAAATGCTACAAAAAAATAGGGTGGGCAAAAGCAGGAATGGTCCTTACAGTTATGGAGCTTATATGCCAGAGGGCAAGGCAGATATTAGTCAAATAATTACCCTAAATGAATTTTACATAGATAGAGGTTTTGAAGGAAAGGCATGTTTCCATTAGAGTATGCCTCACCTAGGGAGTCAGAAAGGCTTCTTAGGAAAGGGATCTTTAGGATGAGGTCTGAAGGATGAAGAGTTGTTAATGCATGCAAGGTGTATGCACACATGTGTATGTGTTTGTGTGTGTGTGTATATAAGAGAGAAAGTGTAGTTTGCTTGTCTTTTAGTTAATACTTCCCAGACTCTTCTCAGATTTCTTTAGACATACTCCAGAAGCAGGCTCCCTCAGCTTCTTCTGAACTATAAAATGGATTCAGATGTTGTTTAGAAACCAGAGATCCCTGTCCCAGTGAATGAAATAGCCCCTGAAAAGAATCTTACTATGAAGAACAGCTTAGAAACAAGACTTTGCAAAAATACTTAAATGCTTGGTTTTCTTATGTGTAAAACTGTTGATATTTACACCTTCCTTCCAGGATTTTTTCGGAACATCAGATAAAATAAATGAGGTATTTACCTT